TAGGAGATGTGACGACCAACTACCGGAAAAGAGTGATGAAGTTCGAGGCCGGTGATCAGCTTGTTACCTTGAAGGCTAGTGAGGGAGCAACCAAGGAGGTTGGTCTAAAAAACATCGAGAAGGTGTGGCGAGGTGCTGGACAGTTGTACGCTGTCGTGGTCGAGCAGACAGGTAAGGATGCGGAGGTGCTCGAGGAGTTCAACTAGGTGGTCGAGGAGAGGCAGCGCGAGGTGCGTGACTTGCTTGAGGAGTTCGACCAGGTCCTCGATGAGCCCAAGGGACTGCCGCCACACCGAGAGATCAACCACCGCATACCTTTGGTCGAGGAAGGTCGAGCAGTGCACGTGCATCCGTATCAATACGCACACTTCCAAAAGACGGAGATCGAGCGACAGGTGGGCGAGATGCTCGAGTCTGGGCTCATCCAGCATAGCTCGAGCCCGTTCTCGTCACCGGTGTTGCTCGCAAAGAAGAAGGACGGAACGTGGAGGTTTTGCATGGACTACCGCGCTCTCAATGCGGCTACCGTGAAGAATCGTTTTCCCATTCCAAGTGTCGACGACATTCTGGACGAGTTGGGTGGCACGCGATACTTCTCCAAGCTCGACCTACGCGCGGGCTACCATCAGATCAGGCTGGCCAAGGAGGACGTGCCCAAGACGGCTTTTCGCACGCACCAAGGGCACTACGAATATCTCGTGATGCCTTTTGGTTTGTGCAATGCGCCGTCGACATTTCAGTTTGCCATGAACTCGATTTTCAAGAGGTACCTACGTAAGTTTGTATTAGCATTCTTTGATGACATTTTGGTGTACTCGAAAACATGGGCAGATCATCTCGAGCACTTGCGAATTGTCTTGGGGATTTTGGAGGCTAACTCATTCTACATCAAACCGTCCAAGTGCTCGTTTGCTCAAGAAGTGGTCGAGTACCTCGGGCACTTCATTTCTCATGATGGCGTTAAGGTGGATCCAAGGAAAATCGAGGCGATGGTGGGATGGCCGAAACCCACGAGCTTGACGCAGTTGCGAGGGTTCCTTGGTCTCACGGGCTATTATCGAAAATTCGTGATGGACTATGGGACCATCGCAAAGCCACTTACGGAGATGACGAAGAAGGGGGCATTCAAGTGGACGGAGGCCAGCGAGAAGGCTTTCGAGGAACTAAAGAAGGCCATGACGACCACACCCGTGCTCGCGATGCCGAGGTTTGATGTGTTGTTCGAGATTCACTCGGATGCGAGCGACATTGGAATCGGAGCGATTCTAGTACAGGAAGGACGACCCTTGGCTTATCTCAGCAAGGCTCTCGGGCCGGCGCGCTTAGGGTTGTCCGTATACGTAAAAGAGATGCTAGCCGTGGTCGAGGCCGTGTGCGTATAGAGGCCGTACTTGCTTGGGCGACGCTTTCGGATTGTCACGGACCAGCAGCCGCTCAAGCACTTGCTCGAGCAAAGGATCGTGACGCCCGAGCAGCAGAAGTTCATATCCAAATTGATGGGGTTCGACTTCGAGATAGTGTATCAGCCCGGTCGCCAGAACACCGTGGCCGACGCATTGTCTCCACGGGAGGACGTGGCCGAGCTCGACGCCGTGACGGGGCCGACGTGGGCTGTTTGGACAGAGCTTCGGAAGGCACAAGACGAGGATGCACATTGCCAGGACATGATCGAGAAGCTGAACGTAGGACACGACGAGGACGAGGACCATGACATGCACGATGGCTTGCTCCTTTATCATGGTAGAGTCGTCGTGCCCGAGACGGGATCGTTGCGCGAGGACATCATCCGACACTTTCACGACTCGAAGTTTGGAGGACATTCTGGGGTGTTCCGGACATGGATGAGGATTGCGAGCACTTTTTATTGGCTAGGACTGAGGGGCGATGTGAGCGACTACGTTGGGCGATGCGATGAGTGCCAACGCACTAAGGCGGACGCGCGTCGACCGGGTGGGCTGCTTCAACCATTGCCGATTCCTGCACGTATTTGGGAGGACATCACCATGGATTTTATCGAGGGGTTGCCACTCTCGAATGGGTTTAATGGAGTCATGGTGGTAGTCGACCGCCTTACCAAGTATGCACATTTTATTCCACTTACTCATCCATACACGGCTAAGTCTATAGCAAAATTATTCGTCGAATATGTGATGAAATTGCATGGGGTGCCGCGGTCAATTGTGTCCGACCGAGATCGGATATTTATGAGTAGCTTTTGGTCGGAGTTCTTTGAATTGCAGGGAACCGAGCTAAGCATGAGCTCAGCTTATCATCCACAAACCGACGGAC